TCATGATTCAGCGTACGAAGAAACTTTAATGAATAATGGGGTCCTTAAAGTGTGACAGCGTGCTTTATCAACTACGATGTTGTGTGGAAAGGAGGTGATACGACAAGATGGAATACTTTTAGTTCCTTGTTTATTTAATGACGCTCCGTCGATTTCAAAATAAACTCCAGAGAAAAGAGTTGTTTAGAAGCTGAAATTCGCTCAACGATTCAAGGAATCCCCTCACCTTTTATGGAATCAGAAATGTCATTATCGTGTTCACAAGTCCAATACACATTTTCATATGCTAGTTCCTAAAACTATCATCCCCAACTTACACCTATGTCTTTCAAGTGAGATTTCAGGTCTCACTGCGACAGATATAAAGATGACAGACTTCTGAGATATTACACCGTGTAGTGGCATAGTTAACCGACGTTCCAGAGGTGCGTCTGCCTCAGGTAACAGGGCACTCATCCCCTGATGATGGAGGCAGTAAGCACTTCTGAAATTTCGATTAGCTTCTACGAGACAACACGGCCATATCTCAGAACACTGTCATCTTTATTTTGTCTCTCAAGTTTCTCTCTGCGTTTTCCGACTAAAATGTTGCATCCGTTTCTTATTTCTCTCATGCGTGCTACATGACCCATTCATTTCATACTATTGCAATACTCTGTAATTCAGCCTTTGAACCAGCTGGTGATTTGGAAAGATGTACGTTGGTATTGGTTAATTGCTGTCACGACTATGTTGACAGGTTAGCAGAGCATATTGCCATTTTTTTATTCTGTTCAGAAAGTAACAGGAAGTTTTTTTTTTCCACAGTCATTAATTAAGAGTATGTTCTGACATGTGAAGACGCTGCCTCACAGCGTCTGGCGATAACCTCTCATTGCCAATAGATGCTCTCTCTCTTGCACTGTCCTCATTGATTTCCGATTCACGCCTGCTCGCCAATAGCTAGTTTCATTAAACCGCAATTGTACCAACAACTAGGTTTCTCGGGAAATAACTCACGAGCTGTGAGTGCTGGCTGGTAACAGGTTCTTACGCTCAAGCAGACGTGATACTGAACTCACAGCGTACCTCAGCAGTGCCAACGTGATTACTTAGCACGAAAGCGTGTTAAGGTAGAATTTTATATTTACAATTTATTCGATGTGTCGCATGGTAAAGCTGGAAATGATTGACAAAAATCAGATACTTTTTATGTTTAAGATATATTTGTGATAGAAATTAAATTTTATAAACAGTAACACAGAGACTTTCATGCAGACCAATAAATAAATTTTTAATTTAATAAATATTAGATAAAACTATGTATATGAACGGCGGTAAATACGAATATGGCTGTCTTCTGGGTTGTAGCGCCGTGTAGTCTGGTAGAAAGGTCACTTATCGCCCTGATGATGGAGGCAGTAAGGACCTCTGAAACGTTGGTAAATTTCGACCAGACTACACGGCGCCACAGCCCAATCTTGAATGCTTTACAAAACATGAAATTTAAAGATGATGAGCCAAAATTTACCAGTTACTGGCGTTAAACTGTTTGAAAACAAACTGGTTATGAAAATGTTTAAGATGAATGTTGTAATTGAGCAATTTAGGTTATTACAGAACGAGGTACTTCGTGGTTTAAGTAGGCTACGGTTGTCTAGGATTTTATGGTGGTGAAAGAAAGAATGCTTACAGAAGTGTAATGAGAAAGCTACATGGAAAACTGTGAACTGGAAGACCAAGAAGGAGATGGAGTTATAATATTATTAATAGGTGAGCACTGTATTAAAGAAACTTGGGATGGGCTAAGTGGCGGGATTTTGTGCACACGGTGGTGAAAATTTACTTTCTGTTAAATAGTGCAATTCCTCAATCAGTTGAATAAATGTAAAGCTTCTACACCATAGAGTTAATTGAATGGTTAATTGCTTCATTGCTGGATTGTTTAATTAGTTATTCAGTTTATTAGTACTTTGGTTCCTTGGTTTATAAGCAAACTAGAGACACGTGAATCTTTGTCAAGACCGATTCCATAACCCACAAAACCTAATTGTAATCTAGGGGGGGATCTAGTTGATTCTAGACACATTTAATTATAGATGTATCTTGTATTATTGCAGCAAGTTATGTGGCACGGGGCTAACTGGATGCAGATAATATAGATAATGGAATCGCATTACGTTCGCTGTTCATTTAGGTAGGCCTACTAATCTATTAATGTACGAGCAGTTCTGACAAAGCGTGTGCACCCTGCAGACAGATTCTGATTTGTGTTGCAACCATAGCCAATGGCATGTTGCAAACGGCTGGGAAATATGATGTAGCGTTTTGGGACGAGTGATGGTTTGTTTTGAGACAGAAACCTGAGACCAGGTCTGTTTAGGATTTCCATAACAGCGTTTGCTGGTTTTAAGCCTGCAGTAGTACGAAATAAAGACTGATGTTTTTACGTAAGAGTGCGCAACGATTGTTTTGCGGGACTTAAAAATCACGAAACTATATAAAAAATTCGTCTCGTATAATCATAAAGGCCCCAACTATTAATGTTATGGGACTATGTCAGAGATACGGGCGAGTCATGAAGTATGTATGGGGGTGAACATGAAATTTTTACAACGTTTTGCTTGGAAAATCAACTGCTCAAGGAACATTCTGTAGCATGCAGGAAGTTGTGGTCCACTCATATCGCAGTGTACAATGTTTCTCTGTGAACGACAAAACGGAAATACCAATACAAAGTTCAGAGTAGGAAACTGAGACAGTCTGATGGGTGTCTTCCCCTCTACCGACCCCTTTCTGTATGACACACGTACGCATTAAAATTCCCGTAGCGAACAACGCATTTCAAATGGAAACGACTTCATTTTTTTTCCCTTCTCTTCGCTCTTCTTTTTTCATATTTCGCTTTGCTGTTTCATCTCTAGTGTTCTTCATTATGTACGAATTTCTGCGAACTGCTTTTGTGTTGTCAGTTCTGATTTAACAGAATAATTTAATGATATTTATGAAGACTAGAGCTCTCGCTTTGCATGGACATTACATGTATAAATCATAACTTCATCGTATTTTCATTACGCTTTTATTTTCTTCTTCTTAAACTCCGTTTCTTGAAACCATAAAATGCATTTTATTAGGGGCAACTTGAAAAGTACCATAATTACTTCGTAAAATTAAAACAATGAATTCTAAAGCCTATACGAATATTGTCTATTAAGACAATTTAGAAGCTAAAGTTGTATTAACTAAGGCCATGTAGTAGAGTTCTTCTTGAGAGGCTAATAATATTTTATCTAGATATTAAATTACCTGCATTTACGGAAACCGGTGAATCTTGATCGCATTTCTAAAATTCCGTCATTAGACCCTACTCTGTGCTAGATAAACCCAATCAACACCCTCAAATCTGATTTCTTTAAAATTAATTTTAATATTATCTTTCCATCTAAGTCTGTGTCTCAGAATTCTTTTCCTTTCAGATTCTATGAGTCATTTCTTTATGTACTTTGATACATGCATGCGCGCCCTGATGACGGAGGCAGTATGACCTCCGACGTTGGTAAACATCTACCACGGCGCAACAACCCAGAAGACAAATCTTTAAGCTTAGGTATGTCTATATAATTGTAAATCAGCTTGTACTACCCACGTTTAATCAATTTCGAGCATGGAGACGTTCAAAGAACGCACTCAGTAAGCTGTGTGATAACTAATTTCTGAGAACTGGTGAACTAAAACCTGCTAGCTGTGGGAGAGACGAGCAGTAAAGATCCTCTGTTCAGACTCCAGACTACTCGTAAGAACCACGTTTAAAAGAGAAAATCGAGTGTTTCGGCGCACAGTTTCTGCCCAGTTTAATAAAAGTCGTACAGTGATTGGTTGCATCTGGTTTACTGACGAAGAACAGCTTAATTCACGAATATACATGACGTAACGGCGGGGAAATATCAGTATTTGACGACACTGCAATTTTCAGAGCTAAGCGCCTGCAAATATCGTGTAGACTGAGCCGCCTCATAGGTCTGTGGAAGAAGTTGCCGCCGCATGCCAGGCGTTGATTGTTAAACATGTTTTATTTTGGGTAAGGTGATAACGGATGTTCTTATTTGGATATTTTGAACTCCACAAATCAAGATTTTTTATGTATTCTTATTAGATAAATTATACTGATAGCCAGCATTTAAGGGAATGTTTCTGCAGATTCTTTGACAGTTGTCGTACCTACTATAATTAATGGAATAACCCAGAACATCACAATCCATATGTTTGAGTTCGTGTTTTGAGTATCTAGAGATGTTTCCACATAAGCGTACCAGATGAATCCACTTTAAACGCACAGTTATAATAGCACATTTTTAATGTCTTCTTATTTCGTGCGCAACCGTTTTATCAGAGTAGTTCATCCATTGACGTAAGCCTGGAATAGAAGTCCTTGGAATAAAATCAGCTAGACACGCGCTGCAGTGAGGGGTATGGGCACGACTAAAATGTTGACACAAAAAATAGATCTAATTAAAAACAATTTTAATGATGCCTTTAGCGAGCGGTAGTATTGAGCTTCGCCACGGTCTCTAGAAGTCTGCAGCTTAACGCGGCTCATTTGTCGTCCAAGACCGACCGCTGAAGAGGAAACTTCTGTTCCAGGAAGAAAGTTGTTTTAAACAATTCGCTGTGTAACGTGACGTATTTCGGTAACGACTTTGACAATCTGGCACTTCCCATCATGGCTGTTGGCAGTTTTCAACTGGAAAACCTGTCAGTTTACATTGCAGAAATACTCAATAATGAAGACTATAACCAAAATCTTCTCAGGTAGACGTGATTAAGTCTGCCAGCTGTTATACGAGGCAGATTGTGTCAGAGGCCAGTACATTTTACGCGCGCACGCGCACACACACACACACACACTTCCAAATGTCACTGAACGTCACACGACCATCAGTTCAGAATATTCAATCTTGACGTCCCTATAGCAAACGAAAGATTAAAGTATATGCTACAAAATATTTTATGTTTGTTTGAAGGGGTGTCAGTCTTGGTCCCTCGCCACATCGAAAGAACAGCTGAAAGGAGTATGTGAACAGGGCATGACAGGAAAGAAGACAGCTGAATAACGAGGAGTTTAAGAAGATTTTGTTACGGTGATCAACTGAAGATGGACGAGATGCGCTAAGATGTAGCACGCGTGAGAGGTTAGTAAAGCATATGCCTACAATACTTGTAAGGCTAGGAGTTGAATGCATCAGAAAATAATATTAAAGAAGGTCTTAAAAATAGGACGTAAGGGTGTGGACAAGATTCACCTGGCGTTGAATAAGGTTCATTGGTGAGATTTTGTTACGCCATTTTGAACCTCTGGGACACAACAGATTCTTCACCAGATGAGCGGCTGTCAGTTTGTTAAGAAACTGCGTGAACTTGGTTACATATTTAATTATCCTTGAGCGGCTGTCAGTTTGTTAAGAAACTACATGAACTTGGTTACATATTTAATTATCCACTCTTCCCATCTGAAGCTAGATAAGTGATGCAGCGGTCCATAATCATTTCCCTATTTTCCTTTCCGATCCGTTTTAATTGTCTTGGTCAAACTACACCAGGCAGTACGCAGTACGTTCTAGAACCGAACAGGGTGAAGGCTTAGAAGGACTCAGGTGGTCTGCTCCCCACAACTTTCATGAACATATGCGGCTGCAACACACCTGGGTCTCTGTTTTAGCATCACCTAGACACATCGGGGTCTTCGCCAGTGTTGGCGCGTCGTAATTGCCTCTTTATCGGCCTCACGCTAAAACATTTCTTCTGGTCTCTTTTCTGTAATTTACAAGCTGAAAAGAGGAATATTTAGTTTTCTGTATTCCTGTCTAACAGTACTTCAGCACACTAATGACACATCTTTGTTTCTATGTGTACTTTGTTCTTGCTATAAATTAACGCAATAGTGAAAGGGACGAATTTGAATTTTTTTCAAAACAAGTTCATTCCCTTAAATTTAACTCTCATTTTCTTGACAAAGGAGTCAATATTTTTGTTATTCTCTTTCGTATCATGTTAACGCAATGATGAAGAATAAATAGCTTTATCGAACGGTCCCCACAGATTAAGTAAATTCTTGCTTGAGGATGAAGACAGATTGTCTCTGAAACGTAGAAATTATATAATTTTAATTTTGTAATTATTCAATAACATAAAAGTGATAATATTGTAATGTAACCTAATTATAGTCGTGAAAAGTAACTACAAACACTGGAGGACGGTGGTAGTCTGATGATGAGTGTCCAGACTCCAGATATGACTGAGGGTAGGTGACGCATATATCTTGAAGACCTTAGATTGAATCCCAGACTGAGTAAATCTCAATGGAGAGACTAGCAGTTATCAGTTACTATTTAGGTCTCCAGTTGCTCGTTGCTGCTGCTGCTGTTGTTATCATCATCATCATAATCGTTAAAATTTACTCATGACATTACACTGGAATTTGTCATACAGTGAGGTTTAATTTCATATGGTCAAATTAAATTATTCAAACACTGAAATGTGTTTTTTGGAGGATTATTACAGCTTTTGTAACAACATATTTTTTAGAAGTTAATTCTTTTGTTGCTAGTATTCTCCGAGTTGTAGCATATGATGCATTCTGAGCGTCTGATTGAAGTTTTTCGGTTTTGTTGTTGTTATTGTTATAGTTAAATCCTTATATTTTATAAGGTCCATATGTTCCACTCACAATTTTTATCCACACTGCCAAGGTCAGATCTTTTCTCCTGAGCAGGAGATAATACTTTATTCTTTAAAATTAAGTTCTTCCAAATCGTACATAATCGTACAGTTCGGCTGTAATGTCCTGTCATATTCTATGTAGCGTTGTTCGTGTGAACGGAGAATGTTAATACAAAGCGTTTTGTCTTTGAGATAAATAGTGGAACCAGTTTACAGGAAACTGCCTTATGATACTGCACTCGCAGAGATTAGTGCAGCACTCAAACGACGTCTACGTGTGGATGCATTGGTTTGGGCTGATGAGCCCCAAATGAGAAAACTTATAACGAAGTCTGGGTCGTGTTGGATTTAGGAATTCGATCGAGACGAAGCTAGCCACTGAAATACTGAATGTCTAGGAAGCCATATTCAACATGATCTCGGGTTCCAGTATGACTTAAATAATTATGTAGGTATCTCGTTAATTAATTGGCTGCCTACCAGGTCCTCTGTAACATGCTGATAGTCGTACAGCTGACAGTGTCTACTTATTTAAATCAGGGTTTCCCAAAGTATGTCCCACGTTCCTACCTCAGAGAGTCGTGAAAATACTTTTGGGAAGAAGGGTTATTATGCGATTTTTTCCGGAATAATGTTGCCCCATTATGCACACAGGTTTAACCTATAAGCTGGTAATACTTGGATACTTGGACGACCCGTTCTTCAAGTGCCTGAGCACTGCTGGTCCCAACTTTTTTTCGTTGGTTTTGATCTATAGACATTCGGTAGGACTCCTTGGACGAGGGATCGGCCCGCCGCAAGGCCTCTACCTGTACACAGGACAGCATAACATAGAAAACCGCGGACAAACATCCATGGCTTGAGTGGGATTCGAACCCACGGTCCCAACGACCAAGCGGCACAAGGCCCACGCCTCAGAAAGCGCGGCCACTGCGGACCCCATAAGTTGGTAATACTAGATAAAATTACTTTTTTGTATTAATGTTTTTCCTAGAAACTCTCCAGGTTTGTGCATTTTTCTTTTCTTCTATTTTCAAAAATATGAAGAGTCAACAATTTTATATAAAGTTATTAGTTCTGTGACCTTTCCTTTTAGTCCCGGTTTTGGGTACTTACGATTACCAACATTTCGTGGAATTTGAATTGGTTCCAGCTGTGTACGATAATTGAAGTTAGAAATTTAATTACTTTACAAAGTAGAGGCCTTTTTTATTGATATATAGCCAGTGGCACTGAGCAGTACACTATTTTTGTCAGAGAATGAGAAACAGTGTGTGCTTTATTTACGAGCAGAATCCAAATAAGTGAGAAACTCCATTCAAAGGACCTCGTCCGTCCATACTTCCCACAGAATAGGGAAATGGTTTGGTTTTAACAGAAGGAACTAGATCGATCACACCTGGGCGACCAGTTTTCACTTAATTAAATTCAGTCCATCGTTCCGTGCATAAAGCATGAATTTAATCCACTTGGAGTCCTACTTGTTCTTCGCACCCGTCGCCGACACGGCCCAGAACAAACACGTGCAATTAATTGCAGTACCATAAACACAACCCAGTGTCACGTGCTTAATTAAGTAACTAGCTCCATCCAGCAAAATTATTCTTAAGAAGAATTTAGGTACTCAGCAGGTCAAGCAATTCTCCGCCTTTATAGAACCGGTAAATTCATTACATTTTTCATGAGCCTATCTTGAGCCAGTTAAGTCTACTCCACAAACTCACACCTCTTATTAAATTATTATTTAATCATAAGTTTTCTAATTGATCTCTCCTCGTCACGTTTTCTGATCTAAATTCTGCGTGTTACATGCCCTATGAGTATTTTTCTCCTTGGTTTTATTGGCCTAATATTATTTATTGAATAGTACAACACATAGAGCTTTTCATTACGTGTTTAATTGCAGAAATTAATAATTTTCTCTCTCAGATAAAAGTAGGAATTTTTATGTCAGATTATCTTTCGACTGTTTAGGAACGCTGAATTTGGTTTATAATAATTATCTTAAGTGCATTTCTCACGATTTTTTAACGAAGGTCTGTTAACTACAAAGGAAATTCAGTGTTCGGTGAGATAAAAGGCTGGTATAGGCAGCGAATGGGGAGGGATCTACCATGGACTTTTACAAAATACTGTCCTTCCACTCGCCACACATCTCGTGCAAATATCCGGTCGCAATAACTGAACATCGCCGTACAAACAAAGGCTGAAAGTGTCTAATAGAACGCGCTGCGATCGATAGACGTAAACATGGCGGACTGATTTAAGTGCGTTCGAAGAAGCAGTGAGTAAAGATTATTTGAGATACTTGTGAGGGTTGTAATTGAACGAGTTGCGTTTATTTCGGGTTTGCGAAAATATACATTAATGTTTTCATGCTGGTGATGGATTTATACCACAACGTAACAATGTTTTGATGCTACATTGCCTGAGCTGTTGAAAAAAACGTCGTTAAATAAATTATAAATAAATGAATAAATAACAATGTTTTCGACACTGTAGTGAATACAATTTGTGTCGGTTATAAATGGGCTGATGACGAACGAGTGAAGTTTTCTGTATTCTGCACGTGTACAAAGACAAACCGACTAAAAAGAGGAAGTTTATCCTATTACTAAGCATCGTACAGGTAAGGCGTAATGGGGTCTCGCTATAAAGCTGTTCTGGTCCTGAGCACAAGATGGAGAATTCCACTCTTCGGTGGCCGCCTGGACACAGTGGTTGAGAAGAGGAAAATCCCAATGTGCGGAACATCCCAAATCCCTTGCCAGTAAATTTACCATCAGAGATACACAGGGTGTCCGATAAGTTCGGCGTCATAAGGTAATTATGTTATTTGGTAAAACATGAAAACATGAAGAAGAATCCCACGTGTTTTCAATCTAAAGTGTTGGATTTATTTTATTTTACTTTTGGTGTTTATGGCGTTACACTTTCACAACACCAAGAGTTAAAATTTTCGGCGGTTGCCACGTGTACATGATAGTTCGCTAGGCGCTGGAATTTTACTGTAGCACATGCGTCTCCTCTTCAGGTTTCCACTTTCGCTGTCACTCAGCGTGGTAACAGCGGCGTAACCTTTACTGTTCATAACGTGAAGACTGCAATGCTGTAAATACTCGTTCTAGGTAAAAGATTCTGCCACTTGAGATTGGAAACACGTGATTGACAGAGACTTTTCCTCCTATAATAAATTATTCTTGGGCTGCCAGACGGCTGAGGTGGTTGAACGGCGAAAAACCAACTTATCGATAACCACGAATATGGTTTTTTCGTCTTTCATCTATCTAACACGCCTGGCAGCCCAAGAATAATTGATTATACTTAGTCGCCGTAAAAGTTCCAGTTCATATAAAACTTTTCTCTCTGCATTTGCCAAATAACCGAGCTCTCGTATGGCCTCGGGCTTATGGGACCCCCTGTGTAGCTTCAGGAATAAAATCATACATTTTATTTCCTAACAACTGTCTAG